CTGATATACGTATAGATATTAGCATTAATAAGTCCAATAATTTTGGTTTATACTGAGTAAAAAACGAATATCGACTGCAGCGAAACATTGAAAGGATCCACATAAAACTAAGACGTACAACAGGATATCAATAATATAATGGTTCATACACAGCGAAACATATAGAAACTGACAGAATAAAAAAGGTAGGCAGATAGGTGGTGTAGTGGTCTGGTTACACAATAAGTTAGTTTACCAGGAGTGTGTGGCAAAGAAATAAAAATAATTAAGCTAGTTTTGGTATACAAAAATAAAGAGATCAGATGGTACAGACTCACTAACAATTGTTCCCTTTAAAATAGTTCGTCGTTGGCCCAGGTCAGCGAATAAACAATAATCCAATTATGTTGGTCCAGAGGCCTTCTTCTGAACAGTTCCCACGCATAATAGATTCCGAAGATGTTTGAAATGTTTTGGTACCAGAGTTAGTACATGAGACTCGCGAATGACCGCTGCAAGCGCGAGCGAAATCAGAAGAGAGCGTCGAAGCACGTGACCACACTTGTATTCTGTGAAATTGTACAAGTGCGCGTTTATGTAGTTTTTCGTATTTAAACAAAAAACGATTATGCAATTGATGAAATACGTAGTGTTATAATGGAAGTAAAACAAAGGTACAAAACACCACGGCGGACGAAGAACGCATAAATCTACATATACTACTACACTGCTGGAAAAGGAACACCGCATTATTTACACTTTTTATCGTGGTTTGCTACCCGTGTTTCCCGCCGTTGGCGTGGATCACCGAGATCGTGCTTCCTTAATTGTTCAACAAGTAATACTTAATCGGCGCTGTCCATGTTTTCTTCTATTTGTGGCAGTTTTGGTCGGTCAATTTTTTGCGCTCCAATCATCCTTCAGTGATCGCTCTTCTCTTTCACGCATCCCGCATCATCGCTCTGAATTTGAAATCCTCCGGCTCCTGTCCTTGTATGACCTGCTGGACCTATAGATCTATTTGTTTTTGCCGCCAATTCCGCATTGAATTGAACTGAACTAGTTGGCGGATGCTTAATTGGTGCTCGCTGGGGTTTACGCCGGCTGCCGGTTCGATTGGTTTTTGTGAGTGTTGGTGTTGTTTGTTACCCTGCACTTTCGACTGTTGTTCGTGGTTCTCCCTGTTTTACATGCATGAAAACTGTTGGAGCAAGGCCTTCGAGAAGGCGCTATGTTCTGTGACTGAGGCGTGTGACACAGGACAGACGCACTAGTAACCCGAGGGCCACCGTTCTGCATATTCTGGATTTTCGCTCATCTCTGCTGCTGGACTCAAGCTGTAGATCCCGCACGTGATGATACTGCAATTTCTTCATCTTTTTACTTGTATGTCGCGACTATCATGTAATATATACATTTCACGATAGACAGCACATCAGTATTTAGTACCGATGATTCGTTACCGTTGATAGAGGGAGAGGGGGTTGGAGACCCTTCCGGGATGAATTACACCCACTTGTGACTGTCCGTTTAGTGACCAAGATATTGATGCCTCCGGCAGCTTCACTCGGGCTACGGAATGCCTGAGACTCTCGAGGAGAATGGTGTTTGACAGTATTTTAGTTGATTTCCCATAAGTGTTGGTGAATGTGTTGCTTTGTTTGCCGGGTCCCGGCTAATGAGGTTTTTACTCTCTGCATCCACAGACATTATCCACTAACTCTCCCATTGAAGAACCAGTCCCAGTGGTTCCACAAAGTGCATACCGCAGCGCGTCCTCAGGATGGTAAGTTTATATGTGGCTTATCAGGTGTTTCTTTGCAGGAGCATGATGCGTACGCGCGGGAGCTCGCTGTGTTATACAGTATTGACCCGAAGTTAGATTATGGCACTCTTCTGGATGAGCTCAAAAAGGTTCTGGACTCTAAAAAGACACGTCTTCAGAAGTTGTACAAGATGAAGGCTGGTGTTCACAAAATCGAAGGCGCTCGTGTGAGCAGTCAGCGGCCAATTACTGAATATGGTGGGGCGTCTAGCTTAGGTCATCCGAGAGATTCAGCGACTGAGAAGCGTTCCAGCAAGGTCGCAACAACTGATGTCGTTAAGAGTATAAATGAAGAGGTTCAGGACCTCACGCAAGATATCGGAGATTTGGAGACGTCTCTGCTCTATCTAAAACACTCCTCTTCTAGTACTGGTGGTGTTAACACCTCAAGTACAACCTCAGGAAGCGAAAGACTGGTGAGAGATCAGGTCGCAGAACTCCAAAAGGCGCTGGATATTGAATTGCAGGTGGGAAGAACTTTCGTTAAAACTTACCCAAACAGGTTCGAAGTGGCGCACAGCGCCTGGTTGAGCGGTATAAAATGGGACCTCGAGATGTCTTAGAAGAAGCTAAGCGACAATGCGAGAACGCCAACAAAAAGATCGGTTTTATACGTAACCAAATGGTGCGCGTGAAACAGCAAAATGAATTCAACCAGCAGGTGAGCTTTGTGACATTGTCAATTTAATACTACTCATGTGCTAACAACCACATGTTTTTTCCTTGCCTATTTGGGGCAAGACCCGTAGTAACCATTCTTATGTCTGGTGCAATTTAACCAACAAAGAAAATGAACGAATCGGTCCACATTGTGTTCCAGTTTGGCTTCAGATCATTCCCAGAATTGTAGCTCAATCACCAATTCAGTGGTGCTCATGTGAGAGCTGTTGCAGGCCTCGTCACAGCTTAGGCCACACAGCTCACCTCAGTGCAACACACCCTGATTTACATTGTCCATGATGTAGTTATCTTTTTCATTGCATGACCCTATCTACACTTCTATAACCCATCGCTTAGCCACCAGGCTGAATCTGAAGCGATCGCTTAATAAACTTTTGGACAGGTTTTTCCAGATTGGCCGAGTGATTAGTGTTACGCACCTCCTGTGCCTCCAACCTTCTCATCACTGAAGACAGCGTTGTTTTCTGTTCCGAGCGATTGTGGGCGACAGATTCGTTGGGGATATATCATGACCTGGTGACAAAATGAGGGCGGCTACCAAACGATGCTGTGGGATCTTCGCGCCTTGGCTAAGGCCCACGCAATGCTGATTGCAGGTGGTTGGAAGCCCTGAAAGAAATTTCGCGCAACTGACTTCAGTGGCGTGCGCGCTGTATTTTCCTAGCTGGACTGCCTAGCCAAAGTTCGTCTGTCATGCGCTGGGCTTAGGTCGGGCGAGGTTCGCAATGGACGCTGGATTGATGACGCTGAGGGCCTCCTACTCCAATTTGATGCTCAGATTTATTTGGTTTAGCACTATCCAAAAGTGCAGTTACCTTATCTCTTAGCTGTAACACCTTCCGGTGCCTTGCTGCCATGCTACCCGAAGGAAGCACGAGGGCTGGGATACTGCCAGTTTGCCCAAGCCTAGACAGGGGAAGTCGGGGGACAGAGGTCGGGTTCGAACCAGGACCTTCTGCTCAATAGATTCGTGCTCAAACCACTTGCGCCATCCCTTATCCTTGATCACTTTTCCTAAGGACATAAGGCTTCTTCCTAATAGGTCCCTTCCCTTACTTCCTAGTCTCTATTATAGTTTCTCTTTATGTTTGTATGGCAGTTAAGCGCCAATATGTATTACTGGTGTGTTACTGTCAATGATGATGATGGTGATGACTTATACCTTCGCCTACTTAACCTGATGTGATTGTGCGCTGGCGAACTTCCGATGTCTATCAGTTGGAATGATGCCCATATTTTATTTCTGGAAATCGACGTCTCTTGTGCATCGTAATAGGCGTCCAAAACGGCACTTGTGATCTGAGGCCGACTGTGGTCACCAACGTTCGCAATACAAGTTACGTAGTTTGATCATCATTTGTGCTTGTCCCAATTGATGCTAACAAGGACAAACTCTAGGACCTTCAGACGTCAGCTCTGCCGTTCAGTCAGGTCAACTTATATCAATAAAGCCTAATAGTCGAAAAATACAATGAGGAAAGGAGGAGGACCAAAGTCTAGCTTACCACAAACGTCCAAGGTGCCTACACTTCCGGACCTCAGTCAGACAATCAGCATAAATGTCACTGATATAGATTAGCCCCTATACCGTTCATTTTCCCCAGCCCATTACAGGATGGGTTATGTGGACCCCATCCTGGAAGAGGAACACTACCAAGGGCGCAAACTTGTCGTTAGGTCCTTTATTCCTTTCTGCCATGTCAACCTCCGTCCCTTTCTAGGTTTCCGGTACTATAAATTTGGCTCGGAAAGCAGTGCTCATTTCGATACGCGGTAACTCGTCACGCAAAGCACGTTACCCAGCCGTCTTAGGTTGCAGTACTGGATGTATTCTGTGAAGCGAGTACCCTTTATCTCACCAAAAACTCTTCTGCTCATCTCCTTTCGAATTTACTGGTTCCAGTGAGACATCTGAGGCATCGGTGTTTAATCACTTGTGTTACGAATAGAGTATCGATTCTGATTGAGAATTTACTGGGTGAGACATCTGAGGCATCGGTGTTTAATCACTTGTGTTACGAATAGAGTATCGATTCTGATTGAGCGCGAGAACAAGAAAAGAATGCGTATAATGAATGGCGGTTTACTTGTCTAAGAATAGACGTACATAAGCTGAAAATGAAGGCGAAAGCATGGTTAATACAAAACGATAATGTGAGCACAAAGAATATTCATGACATTCACCCTGGCCGTTGGATTGTGTGTAGAGGGATAAATTGGGTACAGGTATTGGATGAATGATTGTAAAAATCTAATGAGTAATAGTGAGTGTGGTTAGGCTTCTCGATTTCTTAAAACGTAGGGCCGTGTACGCTGCTGGAGCCTGGCTAAATCAGAGATGCTAGGGTCATATGTATCTGGAGATGCAGGTGCATTGCCGGGGCACGGGGGTGAGACTGAAGTACGATCAATATCATCTCCAATGTTATTGAGCGGAGGCGTGTGCAAGTCAGATAGAGGGGGTGCATGAACACCATTGTCTTCATTGGGTGAGGTACGCGTGGGATCGTTGACATGTGTGTGATCACCACAAGGAGCGAGATGGCGGACGGATACAGTGCTTTCTTTCCCGCCGGGAAAACGAACACGGGCGTAATGTGGATTGCTATTTATTAATTGGACTTCCTCAACGACGGGCTCATACTTTGAGGCACGGTCAAATCTCCTCAGTAAAACAGGTCCTGGAACAGTGAGCCAAGTCGGTATAGATAAACCACAGGATGACCGGCGTTCAAACCGGAATATCCGTTCATGTGGAGTAACATTCGTGGAGACGCAGAGAAGGGACCGTATAGAGTGGAGGGCATCCGGTAGAGCCGACTCCCAGTGACAGATTTGGAGGCCTTTCGTCTTGAGTCTAAGCTGGATTGCGTTCCAGAGTGTTCCGTTGAGGCGTTCGACTTGCCCGTTCCCCTGGGGATTATAAGAAGTTGTTCGGCTGGTGCAAACTCCCCTGTCATGTAGGAATGTGGACAGTTCGTCAGATATGAATGACGAGCCACGATCCGAATGTACATATGCAGGCATGCCAAACAAAGAGAATAACTCACACAGACATTTAATAACTGTAGACGCACATGTATCTACGCAGGGAAAGGCAAACGGAAAACGAGAAAACTCGTCAACGATGGTAAGGAGATACCGGTTTCGAGTAACAGAAGGTAGAGGTCCTTTAAAATCGATGCTAATTCGTTCAAATGGTTGGGTCGCTTTGATGAGCGTAGCGGGGGGTGGTTTGTAAAACTGCGGTTTGATGGCGGCGCAAACCGTACACTTTGTGGTGATGTCCTTGACATCTTGGAGAGAGAACGGCAGGTTTTTGGAAAGAACAAAGTGGTGCATTCGAGTGATTCCAGGATGGCACAAGGAATCGTGAATTTCTTTTAATTTATCATTGCCGATCACATTGGCGCATAGGTTACGCGATAAGGTGTCAGCAACCAGATTGTCTTTTCCAGGTCTGTAGCTCACATCGTAGCTAAAAGCGGAAAGTTCCATTTTCCATCGCTGAATTTTATCATTTTTTATCTTACTTTTCTGCGACGAACCATACATAAAGGAAACTGACCGCTGGTCAGTGATAAGCTTGAAGTGCTTCCCGAAGAGATAATGCTTCCATTTACGGATAGATTCAACGATGGCGTATGCCTCCTTCTCAATAGCAGAGTGATTCTTTTCGCTCGGTGTCAGTGTTCTAGAAAAGAAGGCCACCGGTTGGCCGTTCTGAGTCAGAGATGCAGCAATGGCTATGTCTGAGGCGTCAGTCTCGACAACCAATGGTGCGTTGTAGTCGACTGTCACAACCATGGCGTTCTCTAACTCCTTCTTTAAATTTTTGAAAGACTGTTGCACACGCTCCGGTAAGGGGAAAGTCTTATTTCTGACAAGCACACTGATTTTGTCAGAGAAGCATGGTATCCATTGCGAATAATAAGCAAACATACCAACAACACGTTGTTGGGATTTAGCGTCATGTGGATGAGGGAGTTCACGAATAGGTTTCATTCGTTCAGGATCTGGTTTGATAATTCCTTTAGAGACTTCGTAGCCCAGAAGGCGTATTTGTTTGGCTGCTATGATGCTTTTCTTACAGTTAAGGGTAATTCCATATTTTCTTATTACTTCAAAGAAAGATTTGAGGTTCTGGTCATGCTCACTTTGGGTAGTCCCACAAATAGTGACGTTGTCGATGTAAGCGTAGGTGCTACTTAGGTTCTCAGACTTGATTATTTGGTCAATAGTACGTTGAAAACATGCTACTCCGTTGGTTACACCGAAAGGAATACGACGGAACTGAAACAGCTCTCCGCATGCTTCAAAAGCCGTATACGGTTTATCTTGCTCACTGATTGGAACTTGATGGTAAGCACTCAATAGGTCTAAGGTGCTAAAGACAGTATGACGGGAAATTTCTTCGATCATTTTATCCAGTCGCGGTAACGGATACGCGTCTAGGTATGTGAACCGATTAATGGTTTGACTGTAGTCCACTACCATGCGTCTTTTGTGGTTTGAATTTTTCGTGACCAGTACTTGAGCCCTCCATGGAGAACTCGAAGGTTCGATTATACCTTCATCCAATAGTCGATTAACTTCACAGCGGATAAATTGTTCATCGTCCGGATTATAACGTCGCGATTTTGTAGCAACAGGCTTGCAGTCGGGTGAGAGGTTAGCAAAAAGAGGAGGTGACTCGACCGCAGCAGCAGGTAGACCGCAGAGGGTGAATGGACCTCGGTCCCCACCGAATGTGATTTCAACTTTGTTATGTAGACCAAGGAAGTCATGGCCTAGCAGCAGGTCAGCACATAGATTGGGTAATACCAATAGTTTGATCTTTTTGTAAACGGTGCCCCTGTAATCGATGGATGCGTAGCAGTAGCCTCTAGTTGAACACGTCAGAGAGGTAGATGCCATGGTAATCACAGAATTGTTAGCATATACCTTCCAGCCATGTTTACCAACCACCAAAGGAGATAT